CCCCCTCCCCCTCCCCCCACCATAGGTTCCATGTGGACGCGCAGACACGAAGTCCAAACTCAGTCTGCCAGGTAATCGACGAACCCCAACGGTCCTTCTATGAACGATCCTGCAGTCACTTGCATAAAACTAGAGGTGTGTAGAATAAATAGAAGTAAGGGAGACAGCCCTAGGAAAATTGGATATTCGGGTGCACTTTATAGTTTCTGATTGCACATCAGGCAGCGATTAAGCTTCTCGTGAAAGCCAACGAAAAATATAAAGTTTCGCAGCTGTATCATTAAGTAGGATAGTAAAACCCGAGCAAGTTTCAAGTTTACAGTCTGCAGGCAATAGTTTCGAGGCGTATACCTACAGTTTAGGATCTAAAAAACACCTCGTTCCCTGGGGGCAAACATTGCAGAATCACAGCCCCGTTATCGTTCAGAATTAAAGCGGGGATGTAGTTGAAGCTTTAAATGGCTATAATTGCATCTGAGAATAAATGGGAATAAGTTCAGTCTCGGGATTTTGTAATACCTGGCTTTAAAAACAAATAACATGTATCGGGAATTTTGCGAAGTTTATAGAGCGAACAGTCGGCGTGAGTGAGAATAAGTTAGGAAAAGCTTGCAGAAGTACGTAAGGCCGTGTCAGATTTGAGAAAAAGGAGGAAGAGAGGTTCTTGAACTGCGTCCATTATGAGTGTGCATAAGTTATAACATAATAAAGCCGGGATAAGTAACTCTCACTTCATGTTTAATCCTACCTGTCAAGGAAATTAATTCGTGGTATATCTATAAATACTACAGATATCCCAGTTCTTTCCAGATACCCCAAACCACGGGGATCCATGTGTATCTGGTCTTTTCATTTTCTCGTTAATTTACTCACAAAGATATGGTGTAGAAAATAACCAGCGGCAGATGGCTTTTCAGAAGTGTGACCGAGTTTATGATGGGAAACTTGGATGCCCCTTCAGGTTAATTGAAGTAATCACCCTTGCCTCCTATTCTTTGTTTTATAGGGAGCGTGCAGCCGGTGTGGTAAGGACTGTGCGCCAAAAAAGAACTATATACTAAGGGCGGAACATACTTGGCTAGCTAAGTAACTCAAAGACCACACAGAAGAGGTGACGATTTACTCGCGTTTGCAGACGACCACTAGCATCGACCCCTTGTGATCTGCGCATGAATTTGTCTTTGGATGGGAAATACTTTCACTGGATATACTGCGCTGTTTCTTGCCAGACTCGACAATAGGCCGCAAGTGAGTTTCGTCTTTTAAACCCGCGCGTGAGTCGGCAATTAGCACTCCGCCGGGACATAACGCGACCTTCGGTACAGACGACCCGCGCGGCGTCTGTCCAGTCTGGCGTTCGGAGCTCAACTAATAGAAACACGCGAATCAGATAAAGACCTGTACCCGCAAGAGGACACCGTGAACAGAAGGATGGAAGCTACACTCAATTGCTTTTATGGCGTCTCCGGACACGGAAATTGGAACGCTCTCCATGTAACCTAGGCGGTCCTATGCTAGATTCCAGAAGTGTACATGTTCCTGCGTCCTGATCCCAACACAAAGCCTAACCCCCAATCCCAACTGTAACGCTAACCTTAACTCAAAATATTAGACTGACCATGGCCAAACCTTGAAGCTTGTGCCTACCCCCCCTAACCCTAGTCATAATCTTAACCATAGCCCGAACTTTGGGCGCGAAGACATCTAGATTACATAAAGTTCCCGTTCCCATGTCCTTCCGGACCATATTAGCGTTCTTGCTGAAGTTTACTATCGCAGTAGAGTTGCTCTCTACTGTTCCTGTCTGTCTTCTGTTCAATGCAATAACCAGAGATCTACAACTGGGGATCCAACGGTCTCAAAGCTCAGTTTGCTGGTTATAGTGAGAAACTGAGTGCTTGAGCCGATCCAGAAGGACGACCTTCCTCAGTTCTCTCCCATATCAACGGTAGATCTTCTTTGCTTCGACGGGGCTTGAGACTAGAAGCCGTGGCTGACTTTGCATAAGCGTCTTTTTGGTGAGCGCCATTCATACGGCTGCCTCGTTCAGGGAATCGGCCATCCAGATGCGGTAAAGTTTAGCTAGCGGTATGTGTACGAAAGGAGGCAAAAGAACTAATTAGCTACCAATCACTTATGACCAAGCAAAAAATATTGCATAATAGCTATTCAGCGGTGGCCTTGGTAGAATGATGAACTGTCTTTGTGCTCTCTTCGGCCCTTATCAGGAAGTGACAAACACTTTTTGTAGTCATTGGTTCTCATTTGGAAGAAATACGGCCGCCGAGTTCAAAGGATTCAAAGCGTACCTTTACAAAACTGCGGAAGTTCGTCTGAGCCGTCAGTGCAGTCGGGACGGCCATTGCAGAAGGCAGAACGCGGTCGACATTCCCCGTTTTGACAACGCCATTGTCCAGTGGGGCAGGGGTCGCGCACAGTTATGGTGACGTTGCTCTTCTCTCCGGTAGATATTCGGCACCTAAATAGTGTTGCAAGGGCAAAAAAGACTTGGTTACCGAGGCAGGGAAGAGGATGAGGCCTTTATATACCTATTTGACAGACAGAGTAAATCAACATGAGGCTGGGTGAAACCCAACGACTGCTATATTGTCCACAAATATTGTGTCTCGCCGACTTATTAAACTGGATGTGCGCTTCAGCATATTAGAGCACTCGGGTAGTGTAGGTTGATAATAGGGAGTTAAGTTTTTCCGTTCCTTAGGGGCAATAAAAAGAGGAGAAATACAAACGAAAACTAACACTCGCACTAGACCCATGAACGCCTTCTTCGAATACAATAAATTGAAATGTGTGACTTTGCGTGGAGGGGCAACTGAAACAACTTTCTGCCAGTCAGTTGAAGAGAGAGAAACTTACACATCTTGACGTATATCATATAAGCTTGAAGGTAGAAAAGGTTGATTTGAAATACATCAGTCTGATTAAGAAGATATCAAGTAAACATTCAACAGCAGAAGAATATCAAAATTTCAGGGAGCCATATACAATTTTGAAAGCAGCAAAATGCAGATTATAAACATTTAAACTGAAAAGAAGTAAGTGTTATCGCTGGAATAATGATTTCATTTGTCTGACGTTTCAGAGTCATGCTCGAACACATCATCAGAGACTGCATCAGATACGGATATTTCACGCACTAGGAGCCATGGTACTTATAGGATGCAGTCGCTATGCCACCACATGCTTATTTAAATTAACGGCTCCCCCCTTCATCGAGGACGGTTGTCCACAGCTGCGCCAGATCTGATAACCGACTACAGACATTTGTTGACATGACAGAGGGTCTTTTGGTCTTGCCTGATGTTTGCCTCTAGCCTGTGTGTAACTCCAACCCCGAGTAATGTGACAAAGTGACTGACAGCTTTCGAGACGTTCATAAGGCAGTCAACCGTTCGTCAAAAATTGGGATCAGAACGCCTTGGGCTTTCGTGTCTTTTGCGTATGCACTGGTTGACGGAGTTGAGCGGGTAGGTATTTGCTCTGAACATCCCGTCGAAGATTTAGTAATTCTGCAAGCTTGCATTTTGGTCCTCTTCAGCGCGTCTTTCCAGTGGTCGCATCTTCTTCTTCTGAATTAGAAAACTCTCGCCTGCCTAAGAGTTCTAGACTACAGAAGTAAACAATTGCAGGCACTAGCAACCAGTAAGCAGTGAAAAACAGGAAGATGAACTTACTCGATAACGAGGGACCCATCCATGCCCACAATACCCCTCGGGGCAGTCACTCGGAGGGCAGTTTCGTTGTACCATTCAGTGCGGAAACGAGGGTCGCCCTGAACTGGGGTTCCATCCTTCTGGAAGACAACCTCGACACGACCACCCTGGGGTGCAACGCACACGAATTCAAACTTTACCCACGGTAGCGTAGTAATCACACCCGGTGAGATGATTATAGATCCTTGTGTGTCTGAAATAGGTGAAAATTGCAAAAAGCATTTAAACTAGCTCATCCCTCATTCTGCTTGGCGTAAGAGTTCATGTATAAATGTCACCTGCCCGGTAGAATATAGTAAGCAGGAGAAAGGTGTGAAAGAGCAAGTATTTCTGAGAAGTGTCTGAAAAAAGGTTGCTGTTACTACTGCTGGACCTGCGCGTATTCTACCGATGTTTCACTTTATCTCCAAGGCGTCTTCACTAGATTTTTTTCAAAATACGTTTTACCTCATTAAGCAAGTGTTATCGGAAAACCAGGTCACAATCGAGGCCAACTAATTGTCTAAGTCATGCCGGAGAAGTTGAAAGTCTTGATAAATGCTACTTCAAACACGAGATTGAATAAGCCTCTTAAAGGACCTGTTCAAATACTACTTCTAAACCAGACAGGGCCGCCCTGTGGAGATTTTGAAATTACAGTGGCCGAGACAGTTGAAGGCTGCATTTTTGCGCCATTTGTACTAGTTTCTGTGCCAATTGGTTGGCTCTTCAAGCTTGCCTTTCTTGGGATTCAACAGAAAACACTACTAACATTTGTTTTAATCCTGTATTTCACCGAAACCCTGACGTACATCATAGTTATTGTTTTTTAGATCTCGCGTATATAAGAGTATAGCGCTTTATGTCGGGTTGTTCGTCCTCTTAATTTCCATCGCAAGCATTTAGTCGGGGAAAGCTTGAAATGTCAGTAAAACAGCAGAGAATGGGGATGAAAATGCATGCTAGGGTCGGGATTACGTCCCCAATGAGAGGGGACGAGAAAAAGAACGTACCCATCCTAATATAGGTGGTCTAGTGCCAAACTTACATGAAAAGGTCAATAGTCCGTGTTCTAAACCCAACCCTTATCATAGACCTCAACCTAATCTTGAATCTGACCACAACCTAAACAATACATAGCTGTAATCTTAACCCGAACGCTAAGCCCAGTTTACCTGGAATTTCAAGCAAAACTACCTGCATTACGAACAGATACTTCTCCCATGCCCCGCCACGTGGGTTGTTTAAGCAAGTACCACATTCATATAAAGAATGGAAAATCTACAAGAACATATTCTGGTTAGCCACTATTACTCGAAAAGCAAACAACCCGCAAGAATCGGTTAGAAGATGCACATCTCCAAAATTGTCCAATGAAAGCGTAGAAGAAGATTAAAGTACCGGAAACTACGGTTTTCATATTCCAACTTTTCTTAAGTTTGGGGAATCCAGTGGTAATTTGATAAACAAATGCACACAAAAATCCCTTCCACTAATTGTCTCAAAATCATTTGGTAGACAGGATGGTGAAGAGAGACCAGCCTACGTGGGATGAATGTCTTTTAGCTCTTACATTTTATCTGTTTTACGTTTGTATTCGGCCGTATAGCTGAGGATAGACCTCAGTTCTAAGGCTTCAGAAAAATGATTATAATTTTTCCGTGCTAGTAGGGCATTGAACTAGGTCTCCCCAGGTACAGGAGGTCTTGAGTTAAACTCAAGGGGCTGGTGAAGGTTGGGGTTAGTTATAGGGTCTAAGTTAGAACACGACATTAAGTATCCTCAGAAATTCAGCGAAAGGCCACTCGTAAGATGAGCGGATCGTTTTTCCCACGTTCAACATCTGGGCTAGAATTCCGTTCCCCCATATAAATAGCTGTTTAACACGTTAAGCTTGCGCGAATTCGTAGCTCCTTTATGCTACGGAAAAGACACTGAAAGGAGCCTTGAGGAATGTGAAGTCAGGTGGTCCAGCAGTTTGAAGATCAGTATACAGTCGGACTTGAAGGCAAACTCACGTGGACAAAACACTGCGTTCTCGTCCGATTGATCCTTACAATCATACTTTCCATCACAGAAGGCCGATGAACGTACACAGGAACCGTCCTTGCATCTGGAATAATCCGAGGGACAGAGATCTTCAATCACCACCTCAATTTCCTTGCGAGAGCCGTTAGAAGTCACACATCTACAAAATAGATAGTTCGGCAAGTAATTAACAAGAGTACTATCCGCGTCTCGCATTGGCTAACATAACTAGAAACCTAGGGATACTAGACCGTGAAGTAGAAAACCGCATGTCTGTTTTCCGCGGAAGAGTTTTTAGAGACCAACAAAGTTTTCGTTCGAAGAAACCACCATAATTAGTACACATTTGCTCTATTTGTTTCATGTTTGCAAAATGCATTTACTTTTATCAAAAATAACTACACAAACCCCGGCCTGTCTCTTAAGTGCCTTCATGCTTTACGGTAATGCTGGGTTCACGGTGGCTTAACTGCATGCAAACTTCCGCGCTCTCTCGTTCCCTCTCCATCCCTCCCTTGGACCGACTCCACCAAACCCTCCCCGCCACGTAACCAACCTTCTCTTATCGACCCCATCCCCCTATTCCCACGACTCACTTGCATGAAAAAAAACGAACATCATTGACCGCATGTTTTAACTTGTACCCCGTTCCGATATAAACGCCCTGGCCCGATGTGAACTTATCGAAAGCTTATGCATGGTCGCCAAATGCTCTTCTGAATAATCCGATGGGGATTTTCGCAACCTTAAAACAGTTAACAGATTATTTAGCATCATTTCCATTCTGTGCTTCTGTGTCCCAATAACTGCCATCCATCTATTCAACCTTAATTTTAAGTGTGACGACGGAACAGCAGTGACTTATAATTTCTACATCTAAGACTCGACAAGAAACCTAAGAAGCTTTCAGTCTCGTCCAGGAGGCTAGCATCAGAGGCTGTGAGCGTGCAACAGCAAATGAGCGGTTTTTGTAGTTCAGTTAAGAGGGAGAGGGGAAGGTAAGGGTGGTTGGGCTAAGGCTGGGTCCACGCCGTCTCACGGCCAGAATCGCACGCCGTCAACCAGCATCGAGACGGCTTGAACTTAGCATTTTCGCGAATACCACCAGATCCTCCTCCTTGCTGGCCTACAAAAATCGCTCATTTATTGTTGCTTTCTCACAGCTTCTGTTTAGGGCCTTCTGCACGAGACCTAGAGCTCAGGTTGATAAACCTACAGGCCCAGTGATTACACGTTCATCTTATTTGCAACACGAACCCGGGCTCGCCCATTAGCTTTCATTTATAATGATCTGTTCGTTTGGAGAGGAGACCTATCTGGTGAACTGTTAGTACGAGACTTATCAACAGCATCCCTGCCATCGCCTAGTAAAGCGGTTTTTTACTAATTTTAAGCCAGTGGCTTCGTGAAACGATGTAAAGGCCACCTACTGGTGAAGTGACCAGATAGTTCCAGTTCCTTAGGAACTCGAACCTTCAAAATATGATGGGAAATGTGCACACGCTTTTGAGAATCACGCATAAATTGCAGTTATTGCTCCAAATCGTGGCTCATAATACAAAGAAATATACAAACGAGTGCATATTTTAAAATAAGAATTTGGGATTTTTCAGGCCATAATTTCAAAGATGCTGTAAATCACTCTTTAAGAACTAGCACAATAGAAACCCTCGTCCCCTCATCATACAAAAGGGTGCCTATTTTTCGACGTTCACGAGAAAAATCGCATTGAAATGCGGACTGCTAATGTATTGATTTTTAGTGTCATCACATAGGATAATGAGGGAGGCTTTCCGCTGAAAGTCAGCTGCCAGCAGTATGCAAGTTGGTGTCCCACTGGAGCGATGTGCGCTCCTCTGTCAGTTTTAAAAAGTTATACGCACGTCTCCACTTAACATGGCAACAGGGCTAGAACTCACATAGGGATCACCTAATCAGAAAAACTTAATCGCTCGGATATACTTCTGTAAAATAGAGTAAAACGGAACGGAGGTTATTGGGTTGCTTGTCATTATCTGCCGTATCGTAATGCTAAAGCACTAGGCACCATAGCGGAACAACCCCAATTCGAACTCAGAATCCCCTTGCCGGCTTTTGGGTTATTGTTGTTTGAAGACGGCAGATAAGCTAGAAGTAGTCATTTGATTCTCCCACATCGTCTTTGGCAATGCCTTTTATGTATGTGTCAAGTACCCAGAGCCTATACGTTAAATTCATCAGAAAAAGCCACCCACATTTCCGTATTTGCTGTTTACAATTCTCAGAAAACTGTTTTGGCTAGATTCATAATCTTCGTGGTTACTTTATGTGTGGCTAGATGTATATGGCAAGTCCTAATTTTTAGAACCACAACCGCTTAAAACAAATCAAGAAAGACGTACTCTATGACCATGTCCTCGGAATCAAGAAGCCCAAGTACTGAGGAGGCTCGGATTGCTGAGTCATTCAGTTTGACAACCTGGAAGCGTGATTTTGTGTCGATAGGGCGACCGTCTTCTTGAAAAACGAATTGCAGTGAGGTCGGTGACCGAGAAACACATGTAAATTCAAAACTCTTCCAAGGCCACGTAACGATCCGGCTGGGCACGATAGTGAGGAACGGCACTACGCCTAAATTGTTGAGAAAAAAGCCGGCAGAGTATCAGGAAAAGTGAAGGGTTACAGTCAAAATTTAAAACCCAAAACTAAGATTGGAATAGTTCTTTCGGTAGACCACTGAAAATGAGGAACCAGTCGAACTATACAAGAGTGTATAAAGAATGTTCCGAGACGGGATTAGATCACTAATTCTAGAATTCCCACTGTCTTTCCTACATACCGAAATGTGAATTAGATACCGTCCATTTGGATGAACTAGCCGATATTCCTTAATTTCTGACTTACGGGGTTGATCACTTACAGTCTAAGTCGATTCCACTCTGACTACAATGCAAACTCTTCGCAAGCGGGAACTTCTAACTGTTACAACACTTGAAGTATTTAGAGATTTTCGTGGTAGGACGCACGAATAGGTATAACATGTAGCTTGACATTAAATTACAAGGGCGTTAGAGCTAGGGTTGAGGATAGGGTTATGGCTAGTGTTAGGGCTAGAACATGAGAATGGGTACAACCCTGAGAGTTGGCTCGATGCCACCTGTCAGAAGGGGTAGGGTACCTATTCTCGCGGCCTACGCTTTTAACATTTCAGAAAACTTATCAAGGCGGACTGTGGGAAACAGAAAAACGGTCTTAGTGCCCGGTGTTTTTTAATCTCTTCCGATGTAC